CTGCGGTATTGATGATGCAACAGTTACACAGATGACCTTGCCAACAATCCCCACCTCAACTAACTTTCATGATCCTTCCACTAAGTCACTTACACTTGAATCCTATTGACTCCGTAGTTGAAAGAAAAGGTTCAGTGTGGGGCCTCCCTGGTGGTACAAGGTGTTAAGTCTCAGCACTGTGAAGCTATCAGCAGCCACTGCAGCACCAGTTTGATCCCTGGGCAGTGAGCTGACCCACATGGCACAGCAGACCTCTCCTGTCTTGCCCACTGCTCCTCTCAAGCAATGTATCTCAGTAGATCTGCCTGTTCTGCTCTCCACTCTGTCTCTGGTGAATCCTCTTACCCCCTGTGTCTCTGGTCTACACCCCAGCTCTTTATGCATAAATAAATAAAACAAATCTTAAAAAAAAAAAAAGGTTCAGTGATGTGTTTCTGTACTCTTTCAGAGTGAAGAGATAAAGGTCAAAGTGTCTCAACTTAAGGGGAGGGATGGAGGGAGAGCAGAAGGCTGACAAGACCAGAAAGTGTCCTGATTGAATACAATAGTGATTTCCTGCTTTTAAAGAGGCTGACATTTTCAAGACACATATCTTGAGCATTAGGCCAAGGGCTACCCATGGATTTTCTCATTTAAATATCTACAAATGGGTCAGTGAAAGAGGTTTCATTATTACCATCCTGTTATTTTTCATAGCAATTACTACCATTTTATAAGTAAGGAAACAGATTCAGAGAATTGTTACAGTAAGAAGCAAGGCAGTAAAGGAGAGATTTTGGATTTAAATTCAGCCTATCCAAGTCCTTGACTTGGATTTAGAAACACTGTGGTAATATTTTCCAAAGTTTGAAATAGACTCTCTGGAAATCTTTGGATGCTTCATTGAATATTGAGAAAGTTGTGCTCTTTCAAAGGTCTTTCGATGTTTTTCCTAAAGATTGTTCAGTGCTCTCTAAACTTTCTTGAATTCCTTTTGTATACAATGTGACCTAGCCCAGACTTGGCCTTTGGCAAGCAGTGGTATCTTTCTGAAATTTATTTGTATTTATTTATTTGCCCATGAGAAGTTTGTGTCTTCAGGGCCTCCCTGGTGGCGCAGCGGTTGAACGCTGGGTTGCGAAGCTGCCTGCGGCCTCTGCGGCGCCAGTTCGATCCCTGGCTGCTCCCCGGCCACCGGAGGAGGGTCCCACATGGCGCGCAGACCTCTCCTGCCGCCCGCTGCTCCCCTCAGCAGTGTACTTCGGTCCTTCTGCCTGCTCTGCTCCCCACTCTGGCTCTGGTGAATTCTCTCACCCTCCCGTGCTTCTGACTATACCCAGTGCATGTATAAACAAACAAATAAACAAACAAACAAACAAATAAATAATACATGCCTCTTTAAAAAAAAATAAAAAAATAAAAAAAAAAAAAAAAAAAAAAAAGAAGTTTGTGTCTTCAAAACACTACAGGATAGATTCCTCTCCCAGAAAAGGGTCTTTCAGGAACAGAGAACTATTTTCCAGGTGATTTTCTCATCTGTCATTTTCTTAGGGAGGTGGATTGTTCCTCTTGGATTACCTAGTCCCTCAAATGTAGATCAGGTAAAACCCTACAAATAGCAGCACCAAGGGAAAGAGGATATTGGGACACCCTTGCTGAAATAGTGTGGGAAGTCACGCTGGTCAGAAGGTGACAAGCTGTAGGTGATCACATGCCACATCTGCATCAGCTATCCAAACTTGTGACCCCTGGTCCTGGTGCAACTAAGGTCACCTCACCCTCCACACTTGCAGGAAGCACTGTCTCCATCTGACACTTTCCTTTTGCTAGAATTTAACAAATGTTTTCATCTATTTCATGTTTATGGAACATGGTATGGGTTTTTCATTATATAGTAAAATGAATTTTTATTTTTAAATGTATTTAAATAGTGAGCATATTTGAAGAAAAATATTAAGTAAATGTAATGATCATTTATGATTTGGCTATAGCCCATCTAAGACTAATCTAGGAGTTGCTCGGAAGGTATTTTGTAGACATTACTAATGTCCACAGTTATTGACATCAGGAAAGGAGATGATTCTGGGGTAGCTGAGTGGGGCCTTTGTAATCACAAAAGTACCTGTAAGGAAAAAGGAGGCAAGCAAGAGTGTCAGAGTTAGATGTGAGATCAGAAGCAATGGTCAGAGTAATGAAGCCACAAACCAAGGAGTGGGAAAAGGCAAGGGAATAGATTCCTTCCAGCCTAGAAGGGCCTTCTGGACATGTGGCTTTAGCCCAAGAGAATAAATTTGTGTTAGTTTAAGCCACTAAGTTTGTGGTACTTTATTACAGTAGCAACAGGAAACTAATACATTAGTTTTTGATTTTTGGTAGGCCACAGATGATGGAGTAAAACAGATGGCACTTAGTTATAATACCTGCCTAGATACTCAAGTGTCAGACTGCTAATTAAATGATTTAGAGATAATAGCACTCTCCTCCCTATACAGTGAAATGTATTGGATTATGCCTGTTAAAACATGCTGCTGCAGAGTAGGTGCTGAGTACATATTCTGGAAGTGGATGGATGGTGAAAGGTGAGAGAAATGTTTCCCTATGAGCATGCTTTGAGACTCGCTCTGCTGTGTTTCTGTCAAATCAGATAGCCTCTTGCCTGAAGAAGAAAAGATTGTTTGCATCACCAGGAAGAAGCAGTCTTAGAGGATTGTTTACTGCTTCTAAATGAACCACTAGGAGGCAATTATTGACTTCCAGGTCTTTTGACACTCTCACTTTCTAGTGGTTGCAAATTTCTTGACCATCATTGGGTCCAGCTCCCTATGGCTACAAGCCCTTAATAGCATTTGCCTAATTATTCTCCTTCCTATCTGTAACATCTCGTTTAACCTCAACTTATTTAGTCCTATTCTCTGTTCAATACCTGCTTGTTGATTTCATCTTGTCCAGATAAATCTTCAATCCTTATTTGAACCTCACAGCAATGCTTAAATGAGTAGTCTAACTCATTACAAGCATCAAATTCTGTTCGGGGTAATAGAGTCTTTATTCCAGACTTGAAATTCAGAACCAAAGATTTTTCTATTTTTTATATAGTGTAGAGTCATAGGTTATTGCTTTTTAAATAGTATTTTAAAATAATGCATGCAAAATGTTTAATTACATAGTACAAAAAAGTACTGAATTCATCTTGCACCCAATTTCCTTCCTCCAGAGGCAGGTGTGTGCATGTGTGTGTGTGTGCGCGCGCGCATAATGAGAGAGAAAGAGACAGTGAATTATTCTTTTAAAGATATTCAGAGCACATACAAGGCTATTTCTGTATTGTACTTTTCAACAGTAATCAGATTCTATTGACTGTTCTCTACCTTGCATTTTTTTTTTACTTGAAGATATAATATTTCTTAGTATTGCTATGAAGATTAATGAGTTAATTTTCAGTTCCATCCTCAATAGTGTTTGTGAGACAAAAGACTCCCTATTAAATGAAATCTCTTAAGATTCTAAAGGATGTTATTTAAAATCAAGGGACCTACCTAGTCACTAATTTTTATTAATATTCCTATTCTCATAAATAATATTTAATAGACATATTTTATTATCCTGAAATTAATATAAACTTGCGATTTTGTTTGCTTTTTAAAAATTATTTATATAGCACTTATCATTAATAATTTAGCCTTTAAACATGTAACTATAAATTCTAAAACACATGTCATTATTTAATATTTTCTCTGACAGCGAGCATTTGTGTTATTTCTAAACTTTCGCTAATACACAGTAACACTAAAATAAAAGAATCCTAAAATGGGGAGGAATCTTAGAGTCGCATTTCAGATCTAGTACAGCTCTGTCCTTGGTATTCTATAATGCCTCTCTGTGCTGAACACATCTAGTGAAATCACTGCTTCACAAAAAAAGCCCATTTTTCATTTTCCAGTTTGAGACACTCTATTAAAATTTCTGTATCTTTAACTCCATGTTGCCCTTGGCCATGCCTAATTATGGCCCATCCTGCATTTCCAGTCTGGCCTCCAGACATTCCTATCAAGGCTCTCACCCTGTGCCCTAACTCACAGGCACTCATGACTCAGCAAAGACAGGAACTAATAATAAAATCTCCGTTTTAATGAAATATCTTTTATAGAATTTTATAATGTGTTTAGTTTTGAGGTTTTTACATTTTATAAAGCATTTAAAAATTATATTTCTATATTCCTACCTGAGCAAATGTAAAATGAAATGACATAACTCTTCAGATAGGCACCATGGGCAAACTAGATAAAAATGTTGCCAATCTATATTTCAAATTACTTTCACTTAGTAAAGTGTTACTGGGCAATCCAATCTGCAAAATAACTACTGTCAGTAGTTGAGCTATATAAACTCTTTAGACTGAATTTCTGACACAAAGTCGTATTAACAAACCCTCAGCTGTTCTGCTCAACAATGTTCCATGGAAATCTAGAAGCTGTCAGCTGATGACACAGATGAGAATAAATGACTGCATAAGCCCTAAGCATATCAGAAAGTTGTGAAAACAAGATGTGTTTCTGTTTTTCTGACATTCTTTCCTTGTAAAAGAATTTTTCACCTTAGGAATTCCTTAAGTGAATACCAAAATGGCAATTAAAGAATTACAAATTTCAAGAAGGGAGTGGGGAGAAGCTGAAAATAATTTCATAGATAGAGGCTTCCTAGAACTTAAAAGGAAAATGTTATCACAGGGCAATCTAGTAAGATTTGTGATAAAATAGTGATGGGGCTAGCTGCGGCACATGGCTGAGTTACAGACTCCATGAGTGTGGGAACATGTGACCCTTGTGGTCAAACAGTCCTTTCCAGGAACAGAGCCTAGTCCATTGGAGATGCTAAGACAAACAAATATAAAATTTCCAATTAAAAATAAGACCTTATTATGCTATTAAATACAAACATAAACATGAATGTACTTTCCACATTCATTCATAATGAATTGTTAACCTATTCTAAGAACAAAGATTAAATAATTTGAACCACAAACCTCATATTTTATTGACATGCAAATGCTGACAGACTTCTTCACCAGCAAAATCATGTTTTAATAAATATTAAAAGCAGCCTTGCAGGCAGAGGAAGAATGATACCAGAGGGTAACACAGATCTAAACAAAGAAATTAAAAGCAATGGAAATAGTAAATAAAAGGGTAAATTATACATTTTTTCTAATTACTTAACTTCTTTAAACAATAACTGAATATTTAAACAAATATAACAATGTAGAGTTAATAACCTATATAAGGGGCCTCCCCGGTGGCGCAGCGGTTGAGCGCTGGGTTGCGAAGCTGCCCGCAGCCTCTGCAGCGCCGGTTCGATCCCCGGCTGCTCCCCGGCCACCAGAGGAGGGTCCCGCATGGCGCGCAGACCTCTCCTGCCGCCCGCTGCTCCCCTCAGCAGTGTACTTCAGTCCTTCTGCCTGTTCTGCTCCCCGCTCTGGCTCTGGTGAATTCTCTCACCCTCCCGCGCTTCTGACTGTACCCAGTGCTTGTATGCATGTATGTATAAATCAATCAATCAATAAAAATAAATAAATTTAAAAAAAATAACCTATATAACCATATGTATATGACACCAATAGCATGAAGACTGAGAGCAAGGAAACAGAAACATACTAGTATAATTTAGTATGAAGGTGTAAAAGTCAATTATGGTGATTTGAGGATGTGTGCTATAAGCCCAAAAGCAACTATACAAATAACAAAACCAAGAGCAATAGCTAATGAGACAATAATGGGGGTAAAATAAAATCATAGAAATAATACTTGATTAAACCCTAAAATGGCAAAAAAAAAAAAAAAGAAAAAAATGGAAGAACAGATGAAACAAATGGGAATAAATAGCAAGATAAAACAGAAGTATTAATCTCATTAAAGTAATGATCCAAATATACCCCAAAATAGGCAGAGATGATCAAGTTCAATTTTAAAAAAAAGCAAACCAAGAACCAGCTCTATGCAGCCTACAAAAGAATACTTTAAATATTACTAGCAAAAAAGTTATTTTATAATGATAAAGAGATTAATTACCAAGAGGTAATGATCATGCCATTATAACTGTTTATGTTCGCAATGTTAGGGGGAAATGATGTCCTGAGCTAATCCCATACAGGCTTTGTGGACCCCACCCCCACTCCAGACTAAAGCCAACAAGACATTGGGAAAGACAAATCCCCTCACCACCAAAGGGAGGTGGCTGGGACCTGAGGGTGGAGTTGGGCAGCCAGGTTGGATATAAAAACCAAACACGTGGGCCTTGGGGGGCTCGCTATCCCTCGCCTCCTGGCTTCACGGCTCCTGGCTGGCGGCCAGCTCTCAGAGTGCCATTTTGGGATTCCAGATCGGCAGATCGGGTAGGAGTCATTTAAAACTTTGTCTCCCACTTTTCTCCCTGAGCTGTACATTTCCTCATTTCCCCTTCCCTTGTAAATAAACCTTTTATTAACCTTTCGCGTGTGCCTGCAGTAGAGCATTGATAAGTCCTTTTAAGCATATGGGTGAGGACCCACAGTCAGGCACCCCGTTTTGTATCGGGGTTGCTCTACAACAGTAATAACAGAATTTCAAAATACATGAAAGAAATACTTATAGAACTGCATTGATAGATAAACCCACAATTATAGTCAGAGATCTCTATGTGCTTCTCTCAATAATTGGTGATACCAGTAGACAGAAAATCAAGAAGGATATATAATAATGAATAGCACTATCAATTTGTTCTGACATGTATAGAATACTTCACCCAACAGCAACAGAAAACAAAATTTTCTCAATTACACATGGGATATTTACTAAAATAGACCATATTCTTGGCTACAAAAAAAAAACTTTCAATAAATTGAAATGAGTTCAAATTATAAAAAGTATGTTTTCTGACCACAATAGAATTAAATTAGATATCAAAAACAAAAGATCTCTGGAAGATTCTCAAATATTTAGAAACAAAATAACACACTTCTGCAGAACCCATGGGTCAGAGAAAAAAACAAGGGGATATTGCAAAGCATTTTTAACTGAATGAAATTTAAAAGACAACTGAGGGAGAATTTATAACATATCTTAGAAAACAGACATAATCACTGCTTCAGCCACCACCTTTAAATATTACAAAAAGACAAGTAAATCAAAACCAGAATAATCAGAAGGAAATAATTAAGATTAGAAAGGAATTAAAAGAAATAGAAAACATAAGAACAATAGAAAAAATCAATATACAAAAAATTGTTTTGGCCCTTAAGTTTTATTCAAGAATTCATATAAAATATTTCAGATAGGGCCTCCCCGGTGGCGCAGCGGTTGAGCGCTGGGTTGCGAAGCTGCCTGCAGCCTCTGCAGCCGGTTCGATCCCCGGCTGCTCCCCGGCCACCGGAGGAGGGTCCCACATGGCGCGCAGACCTCTCCTGCCGCCCGCTGCTCCCCTCAGCAGTGTACTTCGGTCCCTCTGCCTGCTCTGCTCCCCGCTCTGGCTCTGGTGAATTCTCTCACCCTCCCACGCTTCTGACTGTACCCAGTGCATGTATAAACCAAACAAACAAACAAATAATAAATAAATAAATAAGACATGCCTCTAGAAAAAAAAAAAAAAATATTTCAGATAAATGAGCTTTAATCCTCAACTTCTTCCTCTTCTTGAGCTGTTAATTTAGAAGTCATGCAATTTGTAATTGTTATTAGCAACTACTTGCAACTGATCTTGTAGATTACACTTCCTCAAATATTTTTTGGTGAGCTTTCAAGTACATTTTGGAAAAGGCACCTCAGAAGTTACAGGAATTTTGCTCTTGCTCTGTTCAATGGTTATAACCCTTCCACAGAGATCCTTATCTTCCCATTCACTCTGATTCTCTCCTAAAGAAACTGCTCAAAATTGGCAGCATCCATGACTCCTCTCCCCAGCGGGAGTGCAGTCAAGAGGGAACTTAATAAATGCTTTTTTTTTCTTGTCACAAGATTTTCATGGCACCCTAGTAGCAGTGAAGGTAAAAGGGCTCAATTGTATTTCTCTCTATATTTCTATTTATGTATTGGCAATGAGCAATTGGATATTAAATTTTTAAAAACTGAGTTTAGGGCCTCCCTGGTGGCGCAGCGGATGAGCGCTGGGCTGAGAAGCTGCCCGCAGCCTCTGCAGCGCCGGTATGATCCCTGGCCACCGGCGAGGGTCCCACAAGGCATGGAGACCTCACCTGCCGCCCGCTGCTCCCCTCAGCCGTGTACTTTGGTCCTTCTGCCTGTTCTGCTCCCTGCTCTGGCTCTGGTGAATTCTCTCACCCTCCCGTGCTTCTGACTGTACCCAGTGCTTGCATAAATAAATAAATAAATCTAAAAAAAATATTAAAAACTGAATTTATAATAGCATCAAAAACAAAATACTTTGGGATATATCTGACCAAATATATATAAAGATCTCTAACTAAAATCTACAAAACTTCTGAAAGAAGTTAAAGAAAACCTAAATAAATGGAGTGATGCCTTGCCACAGGTCAGAGCATTCAGTATTGTCGTCAATTCTTCCTAAACTGATATATGGATTCAGTGCAACTCCAATCAAAATCACAGCGGGTGATACATGCTGCAACATGGATTAACCCTGAAAATTATACACTAAGTGAAAGAAGACAGATACCAAAGGGTATATAGGTGTGATTTCATTTCTATGAAGTGTTCATCAGAAGCAAATCCACAAAAACAGAAAATAGGTAAGGGGTAACTAAGATCTAGTGGGAGGGCAATGAGGAATGAGAGATGGAAATAATATGGAACTAAGTAGTGATGAAGGTTGCACAACTTTGTGAATATACTAAAAATAACTAAAGTAAACACTTAGAATGACTAAAATGTGAGTTTTTATGATGTGAATTTTATCACCATTAAAAAAAAAAAATCTACCTAAGAAAATTCCAGTAGGCATTTTTTGTAGTAATTGACAAATTGATTCTAAAATGTTTATGGAAATAGAAAGGACCTGATTTAGCCAAAGCAACTTTGAAACAGGAGAACAAAGTTGGAGAACTAACGCTATTTGATTTTAACACTTACTATAAAGGTATAGTATTCAATAGTGTGGCACTGAAGAAAGATAGATAAATCAACAGAACAGTGTATAGAAACAGGCCCACATAAAAGATAACTGATATTGAACAAAAGTGCAGAGGCAATTCAGTGGAGAAAGCATAGCCATTTCCAAAGGGTTAAGTCTCAGCATTATGAAGCTATTGGCAGCCTTTGCAGCACAGGTTCAATCCCCAGCCATGGAGCTAACCTACATGGCGCAGCAGCCCTCTTCTGTCTCGCCTGCTGCTCCCCTCAGCAGTGTATTTCAGTGGATCCACCTGTTCTGCTCCCCATTCTATCTCTGGTGAATCCTCTCACCCTCACCCTCCCACCCCCACACCTCTGGCCTACACCCCAGCTCTTGGATGCATAAATAAATAAATCTTTAAAAAAATAAATAAAATGTTATAAAGCATAGTCATTTCAAAAAATGGTGCTGCAATAATCAGATATCCCTATAACAAATAATAATAATTAAAAATTTTCATCCATACCATGTACCATACATGAAAGTTAACTCAAAACTTATCATTAACCTAAATGTGAAACCTTAACCTATGGACCTTCTAGAATATAATACAAGACAAAATCTTGCAATCCTGAGTTAGGAAAGATTTTAGATAAAACACCAAAAACACGGTCATAAAAGAAAAAAATACTAATCAAAATGTAAAGCTTCAGCAATTTAAAGGATTTTGTTAAAAGAATTAAAAATTAAGCCATGAATTGGGAGAAAATACTTTCAAAATATATATCTAATAGTGGACTTGTATCAGAATATATTGACCTTTCAAAGAAAGAAGTGGCCCTATAGTAAAAGAGAAGCAAACTGAGTCCTGGTATCCAGTACTGGTTACCCTGATGTTTAGCTATACTGGAGCCCTCCCTATAGTTTGTTACATGAATCAATGTTACCCTTTTTGAATAATCTGGTTCAAGTAAGTTTTCTATGACTTGCAACCCAAAATACATCTTTAATATGAGTCATTTAGAGAAATGGCAGTATGAGAGGTGTTGAGGAATGTAAGAATGCCTTTCTACAAGAGTAACTGTT